CCCGTTGCACTGATTGCTTCTTCGTGCGACGGTTCCTTCCATCTCCCTTCTTCGTGCGTAGTCTTCCCAGTTCTTCTGCTTCCATCTTTATTTGTGCTACAATTCCCATATTGCGTCGCCATCAACCCAACCTTCTCTGGCCGTCCGAGACCTGCTCGATGCCACCCTCCGAGAACCCCATGATCGGCGCGAGCCTGGACCATGTTGGCCCAAGCCACACGTCATGGCGTCGACCCGACCTCCCGGGCAACCATGGGTGCCACCATCAGCCTCCTCCTTCAACCTTCATATCTATGTCTCCAGATCTGAACATCGTTCTTTTAAGTTAGCTTGGTGGAGGCCCTGATTTCCAGATGGAGTAACTGGCGCCGGGAAGGGCGAGGGCGTCTGCCCCGAAGTGTAGTTTGGCGTCCGGCGCGGGACGGCGCGGCGCGAGATGGCGCTGGGCTGGGCGGGGCCCAGCGGCGCAGCGGAGGGCGTGCTGGGTGGCGGCGCTCCTGCCTGGCGGCGGTGCAGCTGCGGCTCCAGGCCTCTCCAACGCGTGGCGGCTGTGGCTTCTCTCGCGGCGGCGCGAGGTATCCCGGCGGCGGCTTGGCGGCGTGGCGCGGCGGAGCTCCGGCGATGACTCGGCGGCAGGCTGGAGGGCTAGGCACCGTCCAATGGTGCTGCCTCTGCGGCGGTTGCGGCTTGGGGCCCTGGACCCCGATCCGATCTGGATCTGGTGGTGCCGGGGTCTGGGCCATGGCGGCTGGCGAGGCAGGGGTTTCGTCGGGGCTTGTCGGCCTCTAGGCACCATGGGGGTGCCGGCGGCGACGCGTGCCCGGCGTGGTGACACTGGTGGACGTGGTGGTCATCTTCTTCCCGAGATGGCCGGCCAGAGGCTTGGTGATCGGATCTCGAGATCCATCATCTTGTCCCGGCTGCGAGTAGGGGAGACATGGTTGCCGGTGAAAACCGAGCCGACGGCAGGCGATGGCGGCGTTCTCGCCGTTACCTTGATGAAGGCATCGTCGTGTAACTTTTGTCGACCCACTCGTGCTGCTCCGGGGGAAACCCTAGGATCTGGTGTTCCAGATCGGACGATGGCGGCACTGCGGTGTCGTTTCTCTCTTGGGAGCATCGTTTGCGGAGCAGCGCTGGATGTCAGAGGCAGGAGGTAGAGCGGCTTCGTCTTGCACGGAGATTCGGTGGTGATGTCAAGTCATGCCTGACCGACAGGTGCTACGCTTTGTCATGCCTGGTCGGCAGGTGCTACGCACGACAGATCTACCAAGGACTTCAAGCTGTGTCGGCTGGTGATACCTGGCAGCATGGCGCTGAGGTGTATCAGTGGCGACCGCGACGTGCTCAGCTGTGTGCACGCAGGGAGGAGGTGCCGTTTGGCGCCGTGGTGGCGTCGACGATAGCTAGACCGAGCAAGGTTGATGCATCAGTACAGTTCTGAAGATGGAGCGGTGGTAGTTGGCGGCGGCGACATCTGAGTGCACGCCGGACCGGTGAGACCCATGCCCGGCAGGCGTCCTGGATGGGTTCTCAGGTCTTAGATGTCAGGTTTGGCTGCGATGTCTGTTTGGTATTAGGCCCAGGCTATCTGCGCCCCTTCATCAGTTAGATAGAGGTGCTTAGACGGCGGCTTTAGTCTTACTGTTGTATTACTTTGTAAGGTCTTGTGAGAATAATTAATAAAGTGGCCGTATGCATTGTCCAGATGCAGAGGCCGTGGGTCATTCTCCTTTTTTTTTAAAAAAAAAGTGTAGTTTGGCGGCATGATTGATCCAGACCTATCCCAAGCATGGACGTTTCTGTTGGATCCCAATCAAACTAGCGCCTACGTAGCCAACTCGCCATAGTAGAAGCAGGAAGATGGGGCTGCTCCCATCGTATATTTGTCCAGATCTTTACGCCTATGTTGTTTCTCAAGTCGCCAAGGTAGGAGCAGGAAGAAGTGGATACTATACCAATCCGCTTCACGATGATTGGAGCCAATTCAAGCCAGTAAGTAGCAGCCGTGGCCTTGCAGATGCTTTTTCTGGGTTCAGAGAATTAGATCACTTCAATTTCTACCTTCAGTTTCCTGGATTACTACACAGTAAATTACTCTGCATACATTTTTGTATCTGAACACAGATCAATTCCATGTATGAATTTGATTGACATGGATCTTTGATCTGGACTTGAGGTAGTTAATTTTTCTTTCTCAGTTTCATTTGCAATTGCAATTATAATTAGTTGCTACATCACGTTCCCAGTTTTTGTTGATCCTTTTGTGCAAAAAAGAAGTTATTGCTAGGTAGGAGCAGGGAGATGAGGCTGTTCCCGTTGTAAATTTGTCCAGATCTTTACCCCTGTGGTGTCCCCTGAAGACATATGCGCTTTTTCAGTGGCAGAGATACATACTTACTGTAAATGCAATTCAGGTCGTTCAAGCCGTGTAATTCTTCATATCTTTGTTGTACGGGCCTGATGTGCACTGTAACTGCACCTTACCCTTTCAATTTTTTACACTGATTGGTATGTGGCTCTTGGTCATGTACAAATTCTAAGATGTATGTCTGTGTTGTTGTTCGATTTGTTTATACTTTGTGCTTCTGTTCCTACTACAAATAACTCAAAGGAATTTGCATTAGAGGTTTTGTGTCTCGCCTTTCTTTCAGTAGGTTCTGACTGGGCTTCGCATGTTTTCAGTAACGGAACAGCTGTGTGGACGATTAAGTCTGCACGACAGCTACACGATGGCAACTCGAGCTGTCTACTGCATTTTAATAATATGAATGTCCGAACTAATATGCGTTGTCGTGCAAAATTCGTCCTCACAATGTCGTGTAAATAGCATCGCTTGCTCTTTTTCATAATTTTCATGAACTGTATGTCCTATTTTCTCATGTTAGTGATGCATTTCAATTTTGTGGAAAAAGCAATGCATTTTAATTACAAAAATATGAGATACTACTCTACGATATACTAATTTTCCGACTTTTCACATAGTACCAATAAAGGCTCAAATAAACATATATTTTTAATTGCTTACTTATTGTCACTTTCTATACCAGCAAAGGTTTGAAATAACATAGTTTTTTTCATTGTTTACTTATTTTCACTCCATAATCTTTCACATGTGGATTATTACAAGTTCCCGCAGCAACGTGCGTGGTATCATCTAGTTGTATCAGTAATTGCTCACACTGTTTGGGCTCAGGTCCTCTGCCACCCATGCATGGCACATTCACTCCAACGACCAGCCTATCGTATTCGGTTTGTATTACTGCGAGTTCTACCGAGACAATTTCCCAGCGGCACATCACGAGGCAGATATGAATGGTCCAGATACCGACACCCAAGGTGCTCGTCCGCTGAAAATCCGCTCTCCTCAGCTCAGCATACTTGGATTCAACACGACGTTCTCGTAGAAAGACATCTGGCCCAGACCGCCCGACTATCTCGAGCTGTCGTTGCTGGACCCATACATCTTCGGACCACGGACCTGCCCACGCTCTGCTGCATCGAAGTGACGGTGCATCTCTGAGATCCTCTCAGGGTTGTGAGCTCTCACAGCCATGTTCTGCTGCTGTGACCCGTCTGATCTAGGCTTCTTGTCGGTCAGGGACTCCTCATCCCCCTCGGCTTCGGATTCGGCGTTATTTGGTAGAGAAGAAGCTGCCTGCTTCCACTTCGAGCGTGCACGTCTGTTCTGGAACCAGTTGTAGACATTGGTCTCCGAGATCTGGCCGTGCTGCGAGAGCTCCGCTGTGATGTCCTTTATCTTCTGCTTGCTTGGTGTTCCATTTCCTTGGTCGAAAATGTTCTCGAGGATCTGCAGCTGCATCTGGGTTGGTGTCCATCGCTGCCTCGCGGTGATCTTGTGGCCTCCATGAACCATTAGAGGATCACAGTACAGATTATCAAGACTCATACCTGAAAAAAATAAAGAAATTTTAGTTGACTACAAAGAAAATAAACTAACTGCTACAGTAAAATAGATCAACAGAAAAACTGAGAATATGAAGAGGCTCAACAAACTGTATTTCAGGAGCCTATCTAAAACAGCTCTTGCCATAGGTCTATGTTTCGGGAGTGTGTCATAAAAGCACAATCTTTCAGTGGTACTAGATGAATGATCATAAAAAAATATCCTAGGATGGTTCAAAAAATATTACAAGGCTTACAAGAAGTTCACAGAAGTTGCTAATTAGAAGAAAAAAAGCATGCTTAAGTTTTGAAGGAATCTAGCTAGTTGACTTGAGAGTAAATTATCAACTAATGTTTCAGTACGAAATGGGCAAGTGTGCAAATTGTATGTAAGTCATAAAATTATTGGAATGGCAGAATAAGAATTAGTGTTGGACCCAGTAGAAAGATAATTAGGTAAGTAACATGCTATGAGATTCCTGCATGTCAAGCTTATAAGGGAGTACTTTCAATGGCCTAATAACACAATCTCTCAAATGTCTCGTTACATTCATCAAGAGGATGCCAATTCCTATCTTCAGGAGTTATGAGTGTGCTAAAAAAAAAGACACATTAACAAGACCCTGCATAATTAATGATCGAAGATGGCACACCATGAACCACATCTTATCACCGGTCCCCTGCATTACCATCACAATCATCAACCAATCTATAACAACACCAGATAATCTCAAAGGATGGTACATAGCCACAACTAAGCATCCACTAGCATGAATAGAGTCAAATCGTACTTTCACCACCAGTCAAAAACAACGGACTGACCAGCAATAGTAATGTGTGGGGCTTGCTCATGCATGAATTAGCAAACAGTAAAAGCAGCATTCTCACCAAGAAATTGGTAAAATGGATAAACAGATCCGAATCATCATACTACCTATTCGATCAGCTCATAACAAAGTACTACTAGTACTTTTACAGATCCAACAAGCCTTGAATTTTATTCAGAAAGAAACAACGCTACGTCCAAGGGAGGGAGGGGGGAGGGAGGGAGAGAGCCTTTTACTCGCTTTACGCGGAAAGAGTAAACCGAGCCATCAAGCGTGTGTAGATGGTGTATGGGTGTGCATACCAGCAATGGAGTCCTGGTGCGTGGTGAGGGCACGGTGCATCTCGATGAGCTGCTCGCAGATTATGGCGTAGATGGAGATCTGCTTCCGGAGCACCTCTATCTGCTCATCCGTAATCACCTTGACGCAGTGGCGGAGCCAGGATTGGCTGACACCCCGGGCGAGAAACTAAGGGCAAAAAAACCCAGTTTCAAGGCAACAAAGGTCAAGCTATGTTGCATAACTCAACAAAAAAAATGGTAGTTGAATCAGAATACGCTGGTAATGGAAAAGGAGTGGGAAAAACTCAACTCTGTTTGTTTTGCAATGTAACGGTATACAAGTACAGTGTAATGTTCGGTTTAGAACACAGTTAGGAAAAATCTTTTCTAAACAGCAACTCTGCATTACCTTGAAAATTGGAAGTACTGGATCCAAATCCAAAACAAATGGATTAAAAAGATCAAAATTGCACATGTAAATTGCCAGGCATCCAGGATCTGCACCTAAATGCAAGTGACTCACTCGACCCGGTAATGGTTTCCGATTCAGCTGGGGAGTGGGCGGTATCGACCATGAGCTGTGATGTAAACGGATTACATGGGACTTGATTACAGGCCATGTGAAACAAACGCATGTAAAGCTTTCAAGTTGCGGTGTAATCAGTTAACGGCTGAAAATTTCGAACCAAACATATCCATAGAACTGAAGATCATGTTTCCATCCAGGCAAATGGCTATATGTTTGAGGCCAGCAGCAACAGAAAAGAGATAAATGCATTTCTTTGTATTTCAGCATTTGATAAACATACCAATTTTTGTTGTAATGCAAATATAAAACCAATCACCCACACTAAACAGACCACACTACACATACAAAATATAGCAGCAACCAGGGAGCAACCATCAGTACTACTCCCTCCGTTCCGAATTACTTGTCTTGGATTTGTCTAGATACGGATGTATCTAGACTCATTTTAGTGCTATATACCTCCGTATCTAGACAAATCTAAGACAAGTAATTCGGAACGGAGGGAGTGGTACTTTGCAAAATCAGGACAAAGCACATCCAGATCAAAAATTATGCTACTGCTCATGCTCGGAGGTACCTCTACTGCATAAAGATCAAAGCACATCCAGGCCAAAGCACAACCACACTACCAGGTACCAGCAGCACCTCATGGCAAATCTGAAAATGTTGCAAAGAATCGGAGAAGATCGTCACCTTACCGGACGAGCTCATGGCCACGGCCTGGGAGGTGGTGAGAGGGAACGGGGGGGCTTCCGCCGGAGTGGGCAGTCGGCCGCCGGAGTGGGGCGTCGGCTGCTGCTGGAGACAGGGAGCGGGCGGGGCGATAGGGAGGAGCAGGGCGGGAGATGGGGGCTACCCACCGGCCATGCAGATTCGCCGGAGAGAGCCGCGGCGAGGAGCAGCGCAGAAGGGAACCGGCGGCGGCGGCGGCTTGCTGCGGAGGGGAGTGTGGGGTTCGCGTGTTTTTTCTTCGGCGTGGGGGTCGGGTGTAGTCCTGGTGGCCATGGGCAGCCCGGCCCGACGCTGCTTCCGGGCCGGGCTCGGGCCTAGATTTTGAGCCCGATAGTCTGGTTGGGCCCGTCATTTTTGCAGTTTTTTGAAGGAGCCCGGCCCGAGGCCCGACGGGCTTTTGCGTGTTCGGGCCGGGCTTGGGCCAAAAAACTAGGCCCGATGGCCGGGCCGGGCTCAGGACCAGGTTTTTTGGCTCGGGCTTGGCTAGGCCCGGCCCGAAGCCCGGTCCGGCTCAAGGTTTGCCCAGGTATAGTCGGATGTGACCGCGGGCCTGGCAGTGGCATTCCTGATGTAATATGATCAAACAGTGAAATTTCGACCACGACACATGTGGTAAGCAATACAAACAATTAAAAAGGATGCGGATAACGCCCACACGTGTGGGCGTTAAAGGGTCTGACCACACGTTCTGTGTGGTGTTTAAGAGAACCAGCTCACACGTCTATGCGTGGTCAAAACAAATAATGCCCACACGCCTCTTTTTTTGTCTCGTGATCCCTCCCACATGCCTACCTGTGGGCAAAATAGATAACGCCCACACGCCCGTACGCTAGGCCTCCTACCTCATGGTCCCGCACGCCCCGTGTGACAGTCATCACGCGTCCCCGTAGTTGCCATGGTCTGGATCCTCTTCCATGTTCGTTTAACTGCAGTTGCCATGTCGGACAACTACAGTTGTCATGGTTGCTCAACTGCAGTTGCCATCTCATGTCAAGTTCCAGATGTCATTTTTGGACAACTGCAGTTGTTGCCATATGTGGTCTGGTCTACTACAGTTGTCATGATTTGAAAACTTTAGGAGTTGCCACCTACTAACACTAGGCAGTTGCAATGTAGCACTACAAGAAGAAATGGCAAAATAACATGTTCAGGTAAAGATAGAGTTGACATCTGCTTACAAGTACACTAGGGGCAGTTGCTATGTACCCTGCAAAACACATGGCAACGGACAGCTTTGGGTGTGGGAGAGAAGACGGGTGTGTGGGTGCGGTAGTAATTTTAGAAGTTGTCATCTACTAAACACTAGACAGTTGCCATGTAGCACTACAAAAAGACATGGCAAAATAACATGTTCGGATAAAGAGAGAGTTGTCATCTGCTTACAAACATACTAGGGCAATTACCATGTACCCTGCAAAACACATGGCAACTGATAGCTTTAGGTGTGGGAGAGGAGATGGACGTGTGGGCGAACTGATAAACGCCCACACACCAGCCCCTCTGTGTGTGTTGAAAGCTGACGTGTGGGCGAACTGCTAAACGAGCACACACCAGCACCTCCACGTGTGGAAATAGACGTGTGGACGACCGAATGAATGTCCACACATCAGACTAATCCTACGTGACATAAAAAATCTGACCAAACATGCCAAGATTCGTGCAAACTCAAATCGACGTTGATCCATGCGTGTGAACGAGATGCAAACACCCACATATGTGGACGTTAGTATTTTCGTTAAACAAAAACACTGGCATTTTGCTATACCCTTCGTGTTTAAGTTTTTTCTTTGGGCAACCCCTTCGGGTTTATGTGGAAGTTGCGGAAAGCACCCTTGCCCGGTCTTTTCTCGTTGCGAGAGGGTGGTGGAATAAGTTAAGTCATGTGGCCAAAACAAGTTTATTTCAGACTTCTGTCTTTTTTTCACAATAAGCTTCTAGAAGCCTCAAAGAACTTAAGAGGCCTCCTTTTGAGCATTAACAACGTGAAAATTGAGACTTGGGAATTGAGAGAGTCTGAGATATGAACTACCATTGTTGTTGCTGTTGAGCGGAATGCCGAAGGGCACATGTCGTCGGGGTTACTCCTCCTCGAGACATGACTGGAGGAACATCGAACGAGGTCGACACCTCGCCAGGGCAATTGCTTGAGGAAGCAACGAAGAATGAGATGGAAGGGGAAGATTATCGGCATGTTGGGTAGAGCGAACGCCGAGCACCTGAACGGGATGTCCGGGTGAGGCACGGCATGCGACAGCTGCCTGGCGGCAGCGACATGGTAAGGTTTCCTTTCTTTCTCGTCAACAGCGGTGGCCGCCCTGCCTTTTTTCTTTTCTCGATCGACAGCGATCCTTTGTTCATACTAGTATTGGGTTGTGATCTAAGGCCCAACCAAAGGTTAAGAGTGGGTTGCGCTCAGGCCGAAATGTTTGTTTTCCTATCATTGGATCATAAGAGAATAGATCAGGATCGATAGAAATTGCCCTCTCTGCATATCAACATCTACAATGTTCTTCACCATAGAAGGAGCACTTCTTCATCCCTATGTACCTTGTTGCACCTGGAATATACATATTATCAACACTCTTATCATACGGGGGAGATAAAGTTAAAACAAATAAAAAGAGTTCAGTTTCTATGACATGATAATTTATCCTTCGGAAATAGCTCCCCGTATTTCATCTTCCATGGCCCCATTTCTTGGTTTCAAACACATGCAAATTAATCCTTCGGAACTGCATTATAACCACTCGTACGATGTTGCACACACTATGCATCAGAGGGCAAATCCTGACTCTCAAGATTGAACTAGGAAAAAAATTACTCATGGCCCTATTAGGTTCAATACTAGCTATATCATTACCCAACTTCTATCTAGATAGAAAAATATGCTTAAGGTTGGCAACTCTGAATCATGTGCATTTTGTGTGTGTAAGATAGACAAATATGTCCATGAACTAATTAGTACTCCTTTTGTCCGGTATTACTTGTCATGGAAATGGATTTATCTAGACATACTTTTAGTTCTAGATACATACATTCATATCCATTTTTATGACAAGTAATTCAGGACGGATGAAGTATATAATAATTATTATGTTGTGTAGATCATGAGACCACAAATGTGGGAGAGGCACGTGTTGGAGAACGTAGTAATTTCAAAAAATTTCCCACGCACACGCAAGATCATGGTGATGCATAGCAACGAGAGGGGAGAGTGTTGTCTACGTACCCTCGTAGACCGGCAACGGAAGTGTTGACACAACGTAGTGGAAGTAGTCGTACGTCTTCCCGATCTGACCGATCCAAGTACCGAACGTACGGCACCTCCGAGTTCTAGCACACGTTCAGCTCGATGACAATCCCCGGACTCCGATCCAGCAAAGTGTCGGGGAAGAGTTCCGTCAGCACGACGGCGTGGTGACGATCTTGATGTTCAACTGTCGCAGGGCTTCGCCTAAGCACCACTACAATATCATCGAGGATTATGATGGAAGGGGGCACAGCACACGGCTAAGAAAACGATCACGTGGATCAACTTGTGTGTCTAGGGGTGCCCCCTGCCCCCGTATATAAAGGAGCAAGGGGAGGAGGCAGGCCGGCCCTATGGCGCACCAAGGAGGAGTCCTCCTACTCCTACTAGGAGGGGGAAGGAAGTGGGGAGGGAGAAGGAAAGGGGGGCGCCGCCCCCCTCTCCTAGTCCAATTCGGACCAGGGGGAGGAGGCGCGCGGCCCACCCTGGCTGCCCCTCTCTCTCTCCACTAAGGCCCATATGGCCCATTACTTCTCCCGGGGGGGTTCCGGTAACCCTCCGGCTCTCCGGTTTTCTCCGAAATCACCCGGAACACTTCCGGTGTCCGAATATAGCCGTCCAATATATCAATCTTTATGTCTCAACCATTTCGAGACTCCTCGTCATGTCCGTGATCACATCCGGAACTCCGAACTAACTTCGGTTCATCAAAACTCATAAACTCATAATATAACTGTCATCGAAACCTTAAGCGTGCGGACCCTACGGGTTCGAGAACAATGTAGACATGACCGAGACATGTCTCTGGTCAATAACCAATAGCGGAACCTAGATGCTCATATTGGCTCCCACATATTCTACGAAGATCTTTATCGGTCAGACCGCATAACAACATACGTTGTTCCCTTTGTCATCGGTATGTTACTTGCCCGAGATTCGATCGTCGGTATCTCAATACCTAGTT